CACTATTTTTAATTAAAAATTGTCGATATTTTGAGAAAAAAAAATTTTCGTCAGCGTCAATACTTAATTGGATATTTGCTTCTATACTTTTTAGCACGTAGTTATTTATTATTAGCATTATTCTTCCGACGTCTGATTTCTTTTTAATTACAGGAAATGCATTTCTCTAAGGTATATAAACTTTTAGGATTGACTGTATATCCAATACATCCTTAAATGACGAATTATACGATTAGAGACGGCCGGCCGACGAACTCATTCTTCTGTGCCTCGTCTGACCGTAAACGTCTTATACTACTTAAAAGTCGCGTTTAAGCGAAGAAACTCGGGTTCTGGCAACAGTTTATAGTCTTTTCTATGGAAGGATGAATTCGTAGGCATTTGGCAGTGTCAATCAATGAGGGGGGAATACTACAAACTCTAAAAACAACGCTCATTATTCTATTACGTCATTAAAAATTAATCACGAAACACACGATCACACAGAGTACGATGCCCGGACTGCATTGGACTTACAGTGCTGTTCACTTGGACAACTACGAATAGTATATATTACTTTTTCGTAGGAAACTGTACGTAATATGAATAAAATAACGTGGATATATAAAATGATGAAATGTAGTTATAAATATTTCTTCTCTATTACAAAGCATCAACTGACTATGACTAAACACTTGAGGCTTTTCACGTGGAAGCCAGAAGCCTGTTATATTTTCAACGACAATGTATTTTCTAAGTGTCTGAACTAATCTAATAATTTATAATGCAGATGGGTCCAAGTAGTAAGCAAGGATTTTCAACGAAATTCTTTTCTTTGACATAAACTTATACGCATATATCAATTTTTACCCGAGGCTATTCAAGTGGAAAGCACTGTATATACATACGTGTTGCTCACGCATCGTTTTCGCTAAAGAGAGAATCACGTGCAATGATGTATATTTAATGGCGAGCGTGTGCGACGTGTGCCGTGTGTGCAAATGCGTTTCTTATCTATTTCGTCTCATCCCGACTCTAATAGGGATCACCTGTCGCGTGTTCTAAACGGACACTCATTTGTCGACTCGAATAACGTGAGAAAAAAAGATTCGCGTCTAAATATATCTATTCGTACGTTATAATTATACATACGTGTATATAATATATAGATTATAATTTACAGATTATACTATATATATGTAGAATATATGTAATATATAATTTTTATACAAAATTGAATTCTTTTATACTCTAGACGGGAATTTGTGATTGTAAGAATTTTGCAGTTTGGTATTGAGTGTATAAAATGTGTCGCAGTGAGCTGTTCCTCTCTTCGCTTCGATTTTTAAAATACGTACGTGTTGTGGAAATCGGCGATCTGTTTAAAATTTGTGAAGATGATGTCTTTGATGTCGCGCACGGTTCGCGGGACGTCTGGATTGTCAAGGGGCTTCAAATAACGCTCAACGACCAGCTGAAGGTCTCTACCAAACTCCTCCTCGGTCTCGACCAGCTCTTTCACCACCGCCCTGATCCAGTCGATATAATTAAAATATGTAATTACAGGATAAAGCTATAAGAATTTATCACGTTAATAATAATATTCTTACTCTCTTCGATATTTCGCGTCCTCCGGTCGACTTTCGAGCGTGTCCTCGCTTAAAGCGGTTTGCATAAGAATCGACATGGGTAGCCATCCTTCCCTCGCGTCTACCGTGCGGACGTACACTCTGCGAGAATAAATCGTTTACTTAAATCTTATTGTCTGTCTGCGTATGTTGCTTTTAACGTAACGAGTCGAAATCAAGCGGTGCCCCAGGAGTTCGTACTAAATTTTAGGAAAAATGATTCTTCCAAAAATGTATTTGCGATTTACAAATGAACACTTTTCGACATTGTATTTTATATATTTTGCTTATACAAATCGGTAATTGCGATTCTTCTTTATTTTCAGTTCTTTTTTTATCGAATATTTTCACTGTATTTTGTTTTATTTTATCCTGAAGTTTGATGTGTTTGAGTGACTATTAGACAACGCTTACTAACTAACTAACTAACTAACTGGATATTATAGTAGAAGATCTACTACATATACGAAGGAGATAAATTTAACGTAAAACTATTAGATCAATTATCGAGCTCGTTTCCGATTCGAACGCACATAATTCCGGGTGTATTTTCATCAGCCGCGGTATAATTGGTTCGCTTTAAATGGTACTGACTAAAAAATTCAAGGCCTAATGGGCCAATCGGACCGCCAACAAATTTTGCGTTCTCTTGAATGAACAACGTGTGCATACATACACATACGTATACATATGAAGAGAAGTCTGATGCCTTAGTCATTAAACTTAATTATAACCTGGCACCCACGCGTCTTCATATTCACCCATTCCTTACAATATGAATAAATTCTTTTATTATCAGACATGTACTGTGTCTCCTTCTTAGTTGTAACGTTTTTATTACGTTTCAATTCATATGTACGAAAATCTGAATGAATCGAGGATGCATTATTTCTTGATTTTATCAGTTTGCTTAAGTGTTGCAATATATTTTAAGATTGACATTAGGCACGTACTTTACTTCGTTCTTAATTGTATTTTTTTATGTTCGTCGCGTTTATCTTGTTCTCCTTTGTATATTCTAAAGGGCTTACGCTCGTTAATAAAACAATAATAATAATACACAACAATTGATACACGACGAATAGTAAATATCCCCGATCCATTGAACGCGCCGCTGCCAGGATAGGAAATGAAAACTTTGTTCAAGCTTGAACCTCACCTTCGGACGACAACTTATTTTCAGATCTGTCGGCGCATATTTTGCCATCCTCGGAATCGTGTTTCTGGCAACGCCGATTGGAGCCAGCCATTATTCGTTATGCAACTCGAAAATTTATTTAGCATGCGACGTTCAACGAAACGGTTCATTAAAACTGTAACATAGCTATCGTGCAGTAAACGTAAGAACGTTCATGCTCCTATCTGGCACGATTGAAATCTTGAAAAAAAAACTGCCGTAAACTCTTATCGAGTAATTTATTGGCATATTATCGACGTCCAACTTGTTCTGGCTGACAGCCAATTGTTACGTTTTTCGGGACGTTTATAAAAGATCAATCTTCATTAAAGTCATCGTAAATCATCGCACATCACTTTTCAACGAGTTATGATCGTTTTCCTTTGCCCCGAATATATCATGAATCTTAATTTACCACCTAGTGAGCATAGTCGAAGAACTGTTTTTTATACGTCTTTCATAAGATCGTATTCACGCAGTTCATTGACTGATTTAATTTTTATTAATAATAATTTAATAATCAGTGTTTTCCATTTCTCCGTTACGTTACCTCTGGAGGCTAGTGTCCGAGGCCGATCTCGGGATAGTAGTTCGAGCACGGGAACCCGTGTACTTCCTACGCGGTCGAACAGACAGTTTGTGCCACGCCGCCGAATTGTCCAACGTGTCCTCGATCTCGCCGATCTCTAGATCAGGATCCAGCTTGATCTTCCTACAAAATAAAACGTCCGCACGGGCCACGGTTCATCATCCTCGATCTTCGAAATGCATATTCCGGCAGGAGCGTGTTTCCCATCAAGCGTCGCGCAGACTAAACATCATTTTCACCGCCCTAATCGAAGCGAGTTAGCCGTGAAGGGGTTGCAGCCTCGTTTAGATCGCGGCCAGCCGATAGTTTTTCTTTGTTACAATCTCGTTCAGCAGGCGTGCGGCTATTTATACGCACGCAGCAAGCGAAGATAGGATAATTCAAGATCGCGTTTACGGCGAATAGCGGAATCGAAGCGGTTTGATTATTTTGTTCCGCTGGCTGGTGGCATTGTCGATGGCGAGAAGCGTAACTTTCCATTATCAGCATTATCCACGCATTTTACAAGCGATTTAGTCTGGTAAAAATAACGCCGTAAGAAAATAAGCGAACAGCCTTCACTAATTTCTGTGTAATTCAGCTGTTCCGACTTTTTAATTTCTGTCTGTTAATCGCAAGCATCGTTTCTCAACGCATTCACCTTCTGTTAGAGTTCTCTTTGCTTGTTCAGCAATTACTGTCAGTAATATTAGTTTCTCCTGAAGAAAATTACAGGCGGCGAAGAAAATGTTGTGATGGCTTTTAGAAATGTTCAGGCTCAGATTTATGGTGATGAATGGCGATTCTTCATTTTACAAGCAACTATTTTACGTACTTTCAATCGTATTAAGATATTGTATGAGGAATTGATGATTATCAATTTTAATTAAGGTTCTATTCTAGTCCTTAAGCAAAAATAATGACAAAGCATTGAAAGTTTAACAGTTATTAGATACTCCTTCTGTTCCATAATAATAGTAGCGAGTGAATATTTAAACGGGAATTATTGGCGAATCCAGCTGTAAGTTATGTCGTAGCAGAAAATTGCAAAGCCTTCAATCAAAATCAATGTTTCATGACATCTGTCATTTGTTTTGACACATCTTTCAATTTTTAAGTTCACCTAATTATTACGAATTGTGACTATTTTTCTCATTTCATCCGCTGATCGAAATCAATTGTTTTATTTCAGTCATCTTACAACTCATGCAACCTTAAATTCTGCCGTATTATTTAAAGAAAAACGCAACAATATAAAATGTTCAAACTCTAAGACGATTAGTTAATGATCATCAAACGGGAATTGCGTCGACGTAGTGAGTTAATTAGGACAAATGGTACAGCGGTTCGGCAAGTGACAGATGGTGATCAGTATCGGAATCGCTGCTGCACGCGTTTAGACTATATACGGCTCGGGGCTCCGACTATTTTCGGCCCAGGGCGCACGTTGCGCGCACCGAAATAGATTTTCGAACGCGCACACGTACATACAAATACGCACCGTGAAGTCAACGATCCGAGAACCGATCGGGAAAATTTGTTTGTTATCCCGTCCCCATTTTTTTTAAAGGGATCGACTCCGATAGCGGCGCGATGGGGCAGGATGTCAATGTTACCATTAAATTGGCCAAAAATATGGGTCTGTATCATTTGATTATATGATGTAAAATAAACTTTTGACAATAAATCTCGCTACCTAATATTAATACGTTCACACTATAGACAAATATATTATAACTAATTCTATGCTTATGACTAAGAGGAAGAAATAAATAGATTTATTAATAAAACTATATTTACCAAATCATTTATAATTTTATTAATAAAACCATTTATTTCTTCTCTCTTTTTTCGTTTTATCCTTTCAATCATATGTAACAAAAGGGTTAAGCAATATTGTAGCTTTTGTTGAGCTTACTTTGATTGATCAGAATATTCAAGTGCCTCGACGATGTCACCTACGTTCACGGAGAATCCATCGGTCTCACCCTTGTAATCCTTCACTACTATGTAATTGTCCACTGATCTCTGCAACAGGATTTAAAATAAACAAGCGTCATTAAATAAATGTTATTTGCTTTTTATATAGCAGGAGATGTTTCAGACGCGAATTTATTATCGTAATGTGAACATACAGAAATAGTTGATTGATTCAATATTAAAAAAGCTGTTCCGTTATTGTATTTTGTTCGAATATTAAACAGGCTCACTTTATATATTTGCTAATTAATTCTATCCTCTAATTACGTTACCCGTTCGTCTTGCTGAAAATTGCTGAGTTTTCTGAAACTCGGCGTATTCTCTCTGCTGCCTGAGTGACCATACGATTTATCGGACATCACGACACCGTTACACTCCTGTTTCTGATAAGTGCCAGACCCGTCGAGGCTGCTGGCCATCGACGTAGTCCCCGTGAAGGTCTCAACGTCTACGTCCTCTTCTTTCGCCACCGGGCAACAGTACATGGAGAATCTGTGCGCGGTCGGACGGTTCAGTTGAAGCGCGGAGAAAACGTGCATCGGCTCGAAGTGATGAATCCCATCCTCGTCCAAGACCGTGTAAGCAACTTCACCGGTTAACACCGAGCGGGAAGCCTCGCGCGGTACCACAGCCTGCAGGCCTTGTTTCAAGATCATAAAAATCGACAACGGTTTATGGCTTCGTTTAAGAAGAAACTCTTCGATAGCCAAACTGTTGTCAGAGTGAAGCAGAACCGAGGGCACGTCGGCAGACGATTGAAGGGGTCCTTCCTCGGGTACTATCATCAAGGCAGCGCTTTCTCTCACCAGAGTTCTCAACCTCGGATCCGTCCTCGCCAATTCCGGGTCGCTGCATAATTGAGTCAGCGCGTGCATAAACGGCGGTCGCTCTTCGGCTAATTTTCTCATTACCGTCAACCGTTTCAGAACGTCCAGAGTGACCCTGTCGCTGGCCAACGCTCGCGTCGACTTCTCGTCGCTGATCACTGCTAATAAGCTACTGGCGATGTTCGACATGCCGAGAGCCTTAGCTAACCCGACAGCTTGAAGCAGCATCTCGCGAACCTTGTCGCCTTCGTCGTTCAACAGTTCCTGCACGCGAATCTCGCTGGATTCTCTGATGGCTTCGACGATTGCCTTGTGAACCGTTTCTGCCGCCTCTTTCTCGGTGACGATGTTCGACACTTCCGCGGATACTTTCTGAAGCACTCGACTGACTAGGTTTGGATCGTTCTTTGAAACAGTTCTAAAGGCGGGGCCGACTAAATCTGTACCGTATTCTTCCTCGAGAATCATCGACAGTCTGTTAAGTACCACCTCGTCTTTTAAGGATCGACTAACTACAGTAGATTTCAAAAGGTCCACCTTATTATTTTTATTCTCTAATAATTGTAGCAAAGCGGTTTGACACAGTTTGCTGCGATTCTGAGGTACTAAAAGTATCTGTAATATTTCCTCTACTGACTCATCGATGCTAGTGTTCGCTTGACGGAGGAGGACGTTGAAAGCCTCGCTGATTGAGGAGTAAACGAAGTCCTGATTATTAGAATCATTACTATTTTCCATGCTGTGATTAGTGATAGCTAAAATAGCACTTGACATCGCAGTTTTCACAGCATTTTTTAACCAATCTTTATTCTGATAGTCTCTATTCTCTTCTTTTTCCTCATTTCCATTTTCATTTAAAATTATAGGAGATTTGGTACCGTTAGTTAATTTCGTTTCGATGTAACCTTCGTCTAATTGTTGTTCCTGCTGAATCACAACGTTCTTCGCTAGTTGGGCTACTGTGGACACTATCTGAGCCATTTTTACCGCCGTTCCACCGTGGAGACCAAGTTTCTCAGCCATTATCAAAGCTTGTTCCAAAGCTACTGCCTTCGGGTCCACGTCGACGTCCACAGCTGGCAGATCGGTTGCCACTTTCCTTCCAACAGACATCCCAGCCTCTGATAATTGTCGTAGCATCCTCGCATCTATGCTGGTCTCCCCGTGATGTTGAACGTGAGGGTTGTAATGCAAATGTTGGGGTCTAAGCAGTCGCAGCTCTTCAGGGGTGACTTCGAACCCTTGTACGGAGAACTCGACTTCTCCCTCGGGAGTGTCGGTCAAGTCTGGAGCCACGAAACGGGGACCTTCCTCGGTTTGGACTATCTGACCGGGTACAAAGGTCACTCCGAGTTCTCCAGATTCTACCACGCGACCTGGGACGAACCTCGGTCCATCTGCCGTGTCTACGACTTGTCCAGGCACGAATCTGGATCCCTCGTCCTCCGTGGAAATCACCTGACCGGGGATAAACGTGGGACCGGCCTTCGTCTCGACGATTTGACCCGGCACGAAGCGTGGTCCATCGGCGGTGTCGACGGTCTGCCCAGGAACGAATTTCGCACCTGTTCTAGTCTCTACCATCTGACCAGGAACGAATTTAGGCCCGGTACTCGTGTCGATCACCTGGCCAGGTACGAATTGTTCTCCTTTCTCTGTCATCACTATTTGACCAGGCAGAAAACCATCTTCTGTCATGACACCGGGTACGAAACGGGGACCGTCTTTGCCTCCTTTGATCAATTGGCCCGGAACGATTCTCCCACCCTCGGGTAATTTCTTCGCGTTCTCTGGATAAAATTCTACGCCTCTTTCAGTCTGCACCATGTGACCGAAAATCTCGCACTGCTGTACGGAAACATTGGCAGTTTTTGGGTCGACTGGTATGCCGACAGGCCCGGCGTCGTGGAAGACGACTTCGTCGAACTTCGTAGCCGCAGCGAATTGAAAACCCTCCTCCGTTATCAACGTTCTCCCCGGCAGAAATCTTTCACCCCCCCGCGTTTTTATCAACTGACCTTCCACGAACTTTTGACCCTTCGGGGTGTCCAACGTCATGCCAGGAACGAACGTGGATCCTTCTGCCGTGTCTTTCACTACGCCAGGTACGAAACAAGTTTCTCCAGAGTCGTTCGTCACGTACTGTCCCGGTACGAACTGCGCCCCCTGATTGGTTTGGATCGTCTGACCAGGAACGAATTTCGATTCTCCCGTTGGACTCTCGATACATTGTCCGGGAACGAACTCCCACGATTCACCGAGCTGTGCACTCTGTCCAGGGACGAACACCTGTTCACCGCGATGATCGGTGATCGTCTGACCCGGCATGAACCTCGGCCCGTCCGGAGTATGAATTGTCTGACCAGGCACGAATGTACCGTCGTTTGCAATTTGGCCTGCAACGAATTTCGGTCCATCCTCCGTGTATACAGTTTGGCCTTGAACAAACCTGGCTCCGTCGTTCGAGTGGAAGGTCTGTCCCTGAAGAAACCGGTGACCCTGTTCCGTGGGCAAAGTTTGTCCAGCTATAAATACCGCGGCTTCCTTGTTATCTTGCTCGTTCAATATCTGCCCGGGTACGAGCACGGGCCCGTCGGGGGTGTTCACCGTGAAACCGGGAACGAACGCGGGACCCTGAGGTGTCTGCAGCGTCTGGCCAGGTACGAAAATAGGCCCACTAGGAGTTTGTACCGTCTGCCCGACGATGAACCTCTGCGCGGATTTTATGTCTAATTTCAGACCCTTAATCTTGTGCGCGGTGGTCTCTTTACCGTTCCCGAGGTTCCGTACGAGTTCCGGGATCTCCTCGACCCGCGGTAATTGTTCCAAAGCTTCGTCGCCCGCTTGTAAAAGCTTTGCGTTCACGTTCGACGATTCCCGCAACTGGCCGGCTGGAATATTTTGTACCGCTGCCTGGAGAAGAGGGTCCGGCTCTATTTTCAGCGGCGTCAATGGCTTCACGATTGATATCGTCTCAAATCCGCCGGTGCTCTCAGAAACAGGGCTGGTGCACGCGCTCGACGCGCCCTGTTCTACGATCTGAGGTTTAATTTTGATAGGACTCGGCAGCTTTTTAATTACAGTTTGCGCGGCAGATTTCGTTTGATCCTGAAACGAATTCCAATCTAGAATTTCAGGCAAAGATTTCCCTATTCCTTTCAGTGGACTCGTGACGGAAATCAACTCGAAGCCTCTGATCCTCGCCTGTTCCAAATTAACATGTTTCCAATTTTCAGTTGCTTCTTCTATGGCTTCTTCTTTGACGCTTCTCAGCCGCAAATGTTTCGCCTGCTTCAGCTCCTCCTCTTCAGCAGCTCTCTCCTTTTCTTCAAAAATTTTCTTAGCATAATTCAAACCAGCTTGTCGCTTCCTCTTACGTTTTCTAGCCTCTGCCTCCTGTCTTTCTCTCTCCTTTAGCACTTCTTGGTTCGGCCCCAGTCCGTCGTATAAATTCTCGAAATCCTCTAAGTTTCTAAAGTCCACTGATACATTTTTCCCCTGCTTCAGTCGAAATAGAACGGTATCGCAGTCTCTGGACAGCATCACGTCCTTCACGTCGCCGTCCCTGACCGCGGCTTCCAATCTCGATGGGAAAACCAAACTGCATCTTCGCTCCTCCACAGTATACACGAACTTGGACTGTTCCTCCTCGACGAGAGGATGTTTCGTGTTTAATAAATCCCTTAGAGCTCGCTGCTGCTCCCCCTCGCCTTCCAGGATTGGAAACACGTAACGATAGTCTTTCAGGATTACGTGCTTCTTCTTCTCGCCGAGCACGAATCCAGCAGTGTAGTGATGGGGTCCCAAACCGGAAGCGTTCGTTATTTTGCATTTCGACTTGTCGTGCGTGCGAACGCCCAGCAGCACTGGAATGTAATGGTGAGTCGGTAGACCGTAGGACTTGCCGGTGATGCGGCAGAAACGTTTCGCATCCGCGGGGCTAATGGGCGGCAGAAGTGGGAAATAGTTCGGTTTAGGGAGGCCCCTGCTTCTTCCTGTTATCCTGCAAAAGGACATCGTTCGATCTCCGTGCTGCTTCTTAAACAAGCATTTATTCAAACGTTTGTTTGTTTGTTTATTTTATACTGTTTTCTATGGCACAGTATTCTTCCGAGATTATGCAATTTCGTTAAGTTCAATGCCATCGGTTTCAACAAACAACGTTATTGTCTCGTTGATTGCTAGAAGCTTGGCACTCTTTCCACGAGCTCCATGAACAATCCTTGTGCTTGAGCGTTCGTTCGCGACTTCCTCTTGGCGTTCACCGTCGTCTCGGTTAATGTGTGCAACGTCGACGCGTGATTCAACCGACCACAATGCGCTTCCGTGTTCGCCATAATTCGTTCACCTGACGAACGATGAAAGATCCTCTTCTGACTCTAAGCCACGTGACGGGCCAATCTCATGAATATGATGTCTCTTTCCAATTTTTCCCGCACGCAGTTTCGTCTTTTATAAGATTTTTTATATAACTTTTTTTTTTACACGCGTAGGAACGCAGGATTCTAAAATAAACCGTCACATTCTCAAAGACAGTTTGCTGGAAATATTTCTATCATAAATAATGAACAGATTGTTAGGAATTTGATGGACTATATTCTTGTAACTTTTTCCCAACGCATTCGTTAAAAAAGTTTCCACGCAGTAGGCTGGTACACGAGAGAGGCGTAGGTTTATTTTTACAGACGGGATGCCTATGAGGATTCCGTGGGAGTTGTTCGGTTTCGTTCGTTTCGTCCCCTGGTCGCCGGCCAATTCGATGGATTTGCTTGTCGAAAAAGTGTCAGCTTTTTCGCAGCCCGTTTCTACGAGCCGAGTGACCCTTCGAGCGTGAAGCTTTCTAGCTTTCGACGGCCGCGCCGGGAGGATTTTTAGCTGCCCAGGCGCCCGTGCGACGAGCCTAGTCGATTGCCAAATACCTTTGGCCAATGACAGTAGTTCGACTTGACAGTGTCTACTTCAATTGTCAGTCCGATGCTTTTATCTTCTCGTGGCTTTTGATGAATTGCGTACGTTTCCTGTTTATTAATTCAAGATTTTATTACTTCATTTGTTTACGTCGATTGTGTTAAGAGTTCCTATATTCGATGAATTTCATGATTTATCACACTTTCTTTATTACGTTTTACGAATTTCTTATAATTCTATCACCTCTTGTTTATTAATTACTTGCTGCGATGTCTATAAATTCACTCAGGACGAGTAATCCTTATTTTCTACTTCCTACTTGGAACGGCTAAGTCGTTTTGATGTTAATGAACACGTTAATACTTCCTGTTTGCGAAATGTGCTCGCTAAACGTTTAGCTGTCCTCGGTCTCAACCCAACCGACCCAACTATTTCCAACTCATCACTTTCACTAAAACCGATCTTCACCATCTATTTTCACGCCCGGTGCACTGCACTCGCTCAAATTGTCAGACATCAGTTTCGTTTTGCACGATGAATCGACGAGACGCCGGACATTTTTCGAGGGAAGAAAACTCGGAGGGTTTTCCGAGATTTTTTTCTATAAATTAATTCTGAATTTCGTTTTGAGATCAACGATGATGGACCCACAGGTTGCAGTCTGACGACGGTAATCTAAACTATTATGTAAAAATTTAGGATCGCAACTATTGTTAAAAATTTTCTGCCAATTCTCGATAAGATTTTCTCGGGAAAATGTCAATCTCGTTTTTCTCGGGTTTCGTTTCCCACCCTCGGCTATCACTGCGCCTCTGAACCAGACTCGCGTGTCATTTTCGCGCAGAGGATCTCCCGTGTACTGTCGCGAGTTGAAACCGTGAATTGCGATACGCGGCGAACGCCAGACTAGCCGGTCGCACGGACCAAGTGGCTAAAGAGCCGTTCGCGCGACGAATCTCTCCGGCTCCCCGCGAACAGAAATAGCCACCCTTCTTATACATCTCCGACACACGCGTTCAAAAATACGGAGAGTATACGACACGCACATCGAGACTGAGAACCCGTCGGAGGGTGTAAGAATCAAAATCGAAATTACTTTCAGTAACTAAGATACGAATTTCGATTCATAGCAGGTTCAAAAATGTATAATTTCATAGGTAACGTGTTCTAGCAGTCAAAGTTAGCTCAGAGTTTCGACATTAAACTTACCGACAATTTTTGTCATGTGCTATATAGTAAATGTCCCAATTTTAGTTCACGTCACAATTTCTACTCACTGCCTTGCTTTCTGTCATTTTGTATTCAATCTGAAGTCAGTGAGCAGAGATTGTAACGTCAACAGAAATTGGGACACGTACTACATTTATATTTTCTTACATTTGAGTGCAATTTAGTGTTAGCATTGGTAATTTAGTTTGGTACCAGGTTAAATTACAATTTTAGAGTAATACGGTCAGACAAATTACGTTTTGTCTTTATTTTTTATAAAAGAATGTAGAAACGGTCGTTCTACCGGTTGGATGACAAGTTTAGTGTTAAATTCTGTAATGGACAGTTTAACCTGTGGAAAGTTGATGATAGTCGTTTATTGACAATTTCTAGAAGTGTATTAGGTTGAAATGGGTAATTTTGATGGGCTATTTAAAGTCGGTCTGATTGTTGCCGCCTACCGCAGGCCCAATTCTCTTTCTTTAGGTCCGTTGCGTCATTATTTGATATAAATCGGCGTGTTGCGGCGCAACGCACCGCGTGCTGCTCGTGAGATACTATTCTCGACCCAGTTTACGGCAACGAATATGAAATATCGTTCGTTTCGCCCGAATAGGTTTCGAAAATCTAAAATTACCCGGGCATGCCTATCGCCAGATTGTCCGATTGACTCATTCTATTTCGCGATTCAGGAAGAGAATTGAGAGACGAGAATGGAGAATCGAGAAACAAGTAACTAATGCACCGCAGACGCAGACAACCGGATTTATTTATCACGATGCGCGCTAAGCGACAACGAGTGATGTACCGCGTGATAAATCAGCCGCGCGCCGGCACCGTGAAACGCGAAAGATGAATAAGACACCTGTTATCATTTTTCAACGGCACCCTGTGTTGTTTACGTTGCGCACTACTCGAAAAAATTATGGCATCACGAAATCTGCATAGAAAATTGTCCATGAACATTTTCAATTTTCCTTTCTTCATATTAAAAAACCACTCTTTCGCATAAATCAACCTAAATCAACTGAGACTTAGGACGGTATTATATTTTTCAGTTTGTAACATAATATTAAAACAAATATCCATGGCCAAAGTACGATCAGAGCTAACCCATTTCTGAAAATCTACCACGAACTTTTGCACTGACCCAATATTTTGAACAGAGCGAAAGTCGCTATCCGCTGTCAGTACACTTCAATAAGAATTGGCAACAATGAGTGAGGAGTTGTTCCTTTCATCGCGGAGAGTGTCGAATTTGACATCTTGCCATTTAGTTTTGACAGGTGAGCCAGAGTTGGTTCATCATCCTTTCGAATTGAGTTGCGAATTTAATGCGGAAGAAGATGAGCAGATCGAATTTAGTAAAAGAAAATGATGATGTTCGTATTAAGAAACGAGTACGATTTGTTAACTGCTAACGCAGTGAACGAACATTCTTGTGCAGTGAGACCTGATCGCGCTTTTTCCGTCTTATCAGTTCTTTTTCCGAAGCAATAAAAGAATGTTATGTGTATAAAGTATTGCGTAAATAAAGAGGAAGCTGCGTGGTGTATAAAAATCGTCTTAAAACTTGCCAGATGTCCGACGGTTTTGCGAGCACGCGTTCGGGAACGTTTTGTGCCGTGCCGATTGAAGATAATACTTGAACTTGCGGCCAGACAATAATTGGACGCTCCAAGGTTTGAAGCTGATTTACGAGAGAGTAGAAGAATTTTGGCCGCATATATAAACGCACAATAATTTACACGCGCATTAACGATGAAAGATTTTCGTCTGTTAGCAACGCGTAAAGTGCTAAATAACAACTTTCGAACTAATCGCCGAATAAATGCTTTGAATAAATCAAACTAAATAAATATTGTACTAAAGATTTAATATTCATTAAAGGAGTAGACTCCGACATGGCAGAATGTCAATGTCAGTACTAAATTGGCCATATGGGTTCATGCCATTCGATACTACGTCTTTATTTCTCAGACAATCAAGACAACATTCGTTTTAATGTCTGAATGAATTTTATCTTCATTATCCTGAAATGTAGAATCGATTGACGTAAATCTTAATATTTTCCACTATTTTTATCTGGTTGTCGGTAAAACAATAATGAACGTTAGAAATGTACAGACAAATGTTAGAAGAGTCACGTGATTACAATAACTCCTTAGGCAGTGCAGTACATTAAACTTGAGACAAAACAGTATTGGAAAGCAGTTTCGTGTGAAAACAAATTGTTATTTACCGAAGAGTGTCAACGTTCTGTAACTTCTATTGGCGCATTGACACGCCTGTCTTAATCTATGATTTTGATGCTCTGCCAAAATTCTGGACGAAACTGAACGTGTCAGCGCCATTGCTATAGAGCCTAGAAGGGTGATTCACTAAATTTGCATCTCGGAGGTCGGTAAAAGGAATATACGAGCATAAATTGAATTCGCATGATGGACGAGGGGAACGGGTGCGTAAACCGGTTAGCGATATAACGAAAATTTAATTAAGCCGTCCGCATTGAGTAAGGACAGACGCGTGACAGTATTAAAATTAAGAGAGACATAGATTTGGTCACCTTGAAAATTTAAGGCAGACTGGCGATTCTATTTGGATGATCTTATTTGGAAAGGATCGCCGATCTGGTCACCGCCAATCAAGCATGTTTCGGACAAAGCGTCGAGTTCAACCGGTGATTTATGATTAAAGAAATGCCAATTCTAAACATAACTCGAGTATGGACCATTAAGCTCTTTGAATACACATTAATATTCGAACGAAATTCAAAATAGAATACCTTTTTTTAATATCGGACCGAACAACTTAAGGATGTATAGGCTATACACTTAAACAATGCTAGCATGTTGAATTTGTTATTATAGATTCCTATTACTATTAAAAAGCTAAAAT